GCTAACAATGTATCAGGTAATCAGAATGGTAGATACAACAGTCTTGTTGTCTGCAATTTACAGATGGTATGTTTAGCAATGGGGTTATCATTTTTGTGATAATAATGTTATAGTTACTATAAAAGAGGTATTATTAAATTATAGTTATTTTAATTGATACCCTAATTTTTCTCTTTGTAGGACACTGAAAAGGTTACACCTTGCTCCATATATTCAGTATCACTGACCTTGTCAGTGTAATCAAGTAAAATTTGGCTATATACAAACAAGACATGGTTTCACAAGACAGTGTATAATGAGCACAGTAGTAGGAATCATTACACATTATTTTGTATCATTTGAGTAACATTAGCCCACACCAACCATGTACTGACTAAACAACACAATCCTCAATTGATGTCCTGCCCTTTACCAAGACACTGAGCTACGTACATAAGATCAAAATTATAACAAGTGTTATCTCATTGATTATATTTTGCATCGGAATCCATATGGTCAGTATAAACAAGTAAGAGCTGATATTCAAACAAGATGCAATCAAAATATATAACATGGAAGAAGGCTAGAAAGCCAAACACTACATAGAGTATGTAGAGACCCAGAAAGAGATAGTTATGGAGGTAGCCCATCATACATTTTATCAGATTTTGTTTAAGTTCCGCATGATTTAAATGTACACATTGCAGACCAAAAACTATTTGGTCAATATTAAATTACTACAATTGCAAGCTACTTACTGAATGATCAAAAAAATATTTTATCTAGCCAACTCTTAGGTTGGTTTATTTTTAACTTGAAAAGCGATTGAAGGAAAATCGCTTTGTTGATCTTATAACAACAGCTTAATCATTACCTGTAGCAATCTAATCTAGCAGGAGTTCCTATAGAACATTGCACAGCATCAATGAAAATTCATTCATATAATTTCTAATCTTTTACCATTTTGTTATTACAACACTTGTCAGTGGTTCAGTAGAAGAGGAGCACACACAGCCTGAACAGACCCATATTTAGGTGGCCCTTCTTCCCAGGCAGAGTTGTTCTCTACAAGGGGTTTTGTCAATCGGCGCCATGCAAGATACTAAACATTACCATTGCCGAATTCCAAGCAGTTGCCAAGGAGCTTCAGCCACAATACAGAGATGTCATTATCACACGCCTTTGAAGGCACACCAGTTTCACACTGTATTTGTGAAACACAAGCCGAACACCACAGATGATTTCAACAATGAACATTGCAACTTAGGACAGTACCAAGACTACTCCATGTCATATACCTTGCCTTCTTCACCCAACTGTAACCAACAACGTTAAACACAATGGACATGATTCCGCCGGTTTTATCAATTCGTGAGCATGGTCAATTCAGCCACAACAAAACCTTAAGTTACATATTATCAGGTTTTTGTATCTTGCCAATAGGTTGTAGGTGTAACACAACAATGTATTGATAGTATCTTTTTCAGCAAATATTTCACTCAACAACCAACAGCAATTATTCAATATTCTGTGATTGCTTTATTGAGGTGTAGTCTTTAATTAATTAAACTACAATTCCTTAAAGTTCATAAGAAGCAAAATTAGTTTTTTAATATTTTGAAAGTTCAACATTTTAAAGACACTATTCCAAAGTTTGAACTGTGTTGGAAAAAAATAGGCGATTTTATAAGCCTGAAAGTTGTGCGATTTTGCTCTCAAAAATGGTCTTTGAATTGCATGGCCAAAATGTCAGGTCATGTGGCCTGATGACATAGTGTTGTGGACAAGACTACGAGATTGCAATATGGCGTTGAGTAGGAAAGTAAGCAGAGGAAGGAGATAATGCGTCGCTGGTGTCCCTAATAATCAAAGTTGTACAAATTCAAGCAACACTCCACATATACGAGTGCATCAGTTTCCTGCCGATCCAGCTGTGAGGGTCAAATGGGTGAAATTAGTCCAAAAACATTGCCACGATTTTCATGAGCCACAGTCAAAGTATTCATCACTCTGTTCTGCACATTATAAAGAAAGTTGTTAATTGCGAAACTTATCAGTTCTCAGCGGCATGGAGGAAGGAACCCAAGTCCAAGCTATATTAATGCAGGGAGCAGTTCCAACTCAAGTTACCATTGTTCCTGTAGTACCAGAACGCATTAAAAGACAAGTAAGATAAGCTTACATGTTGCTTTTTTGGTTATTATTTGCATCAACATCCAATCACACCAAGTGTAAAGACCACATCATCTCTCAATCTCTTGTGTGTAGTTTTGCTCTGCTGTGATGAGAAGAATGTTCTTTTTGCTTAAGGCTTGAAACTACATGTACTTAATACATAGTTAAGTGTAGTTGGTTTTGGTTGAAGTTTCATTCTTGACCTAATCTGCAACACTCTTTGATTGCCAAATGTATATGAAGCTTACGTGTACGTGAGGAAATCAGGGGCGGATCAAGGATTTTCCTTAGGAGGGGTGCACCAAGCATTGGTGAATGTGAACCTCTGATTAAAAAGCTGTAAAGAATGGATCCCCCAATCAAGAGAAACTAACAAAAGGAAATCTATTTCAAAGGAAGCACCTATAACTGCTGCAGCTGTTGTACAAGTGAGATGGTGAGCCTGAAGATGCATCTGACAGTCAAGAAATTAACTCTGTCCCTGAAGAACTGCACCTCCTATCAGAAGCTGAAGGTGCGAATGAAACAGAAATTGAATCTGTGATTGAGGCTCTGAAGCTTCCTCAGGAAAATGACTCAGACTTTGACTCTGACTTTGAAGATTTTGACAGCGAGGAGGAGTCAGATTAAGAACTTCTTTAGAAGTCAGCCATTTGAGTAAGCTTTGTTTTCAAGTAATTGACTTGTAGCTTGCATTTTGGAAACACTTAAAATGATTTTTGTTTTACATTTCTATCTCAGACAAACAAGTGTTAAAAGGACTTATTTAATTTTCATCCTACAGTACTCTGTAAAGGAAGATAACACGGCGGCTAATATAAATCATTGCTTCTTTGCCTAGTTTTCATTAAATTAATGCCACCTAACAAAATCAATAACATTGTCCCATTGATAAAACAGTTTATAACTCTAAATGCTGAAAATGGCTTTTCCTAACTTCTACAATGTAGATTTCAAAATTTTCTGGGGGAAGGGAATGCCCCCAGACCTCCAAGATAAGGGGCCTTGCAACGCTAACTTGTCACAGCCACCTACTCTTCCAGCTGCAGACGCTTACTTCAAAACATTTTGAAACCCCTGCTGACAGGATTGCAACAGGACTTTCTCCAAAAGGTGGTGGAGAAGTGGGAAGACCTCAGTGAAAATTCAAAGAAATCCCTTGAGGAAATAGGGAACTTCTTGCTGCAAACTTCACTTACTTGTAATTCTTGGTGAAGAAGCAAACAAAGCCTTGAAATTGTTTGAATATGCCAAAAAAGAAGGCAGAAATCCTTTGGCATTTCTTTCTTCAAATGAGTCTGGCTCCTGTAGGGTAACAAGAACAGTGTGTGAAGCTTTTCATCTCTGTGGTAGTCAGAATGCTGAAATTTAACACAGTCTATGAAGGACTATTCAAGCTACATATTTTTACTGAATCAAAGTAGGAATATTTTAAAAAGGAACTCATTTACAATGGAACATATGGCATTCTATTTTGGTTTCATGCACATCGATTTAAGTCGTGTCAAGCAACATGATTTTGTTTAGACAGAGTCAATCAGTTGACAGAGTTTGATAAAACAGTTGGCAATTACTAGGTGTTTTTGAACTAGAAGTGAAATAAATTTGGCTGAACTATCGTTAATCCAGAATTTCCTTTCTGTACGACTTGGCAAGAAAACTTGAAATTGACATTTGGTGCATCAAAAGATTGCACAATCCCACACAATTCCCTGCACAACTGAAGTTTTTTTCCTGCACAATTTGCCTTCAAAATTTGGAACAATTTTTTTTCCCACACCCTATTAGAAGGGCAACTTGGAGGTAACACATTTAATTTTGAAATTCAGGTGAGAGGGGAAATTAAATTGATTACCGTATTTATTACTGTATTTTCTCAATGAAACGCCAGTTTATTCGAGCCTGGAGTTAATCAGAGTTTTATTCATTATCTTATTATTATACTTAAAGCTTACTATAACTCAAATATAAATTCCTTGAGGGTCCTTATTTACGAATCTACGTGGGAGACCGGGCATTTATTCGAGGCCCGGCGTTTGATTGAGAAAATACGGTCTATCCATTATCGGTTTTCATCGATTGGGCACACCGGGATAAAAAGCAGAAAACACAAGGTCACTTGTTCTTAGCAAATCGAGCAGTTTTCACACCTCCAGTCGCAAGGAACGACGCTCGTTTCCCTCCAAAGTCATTCCTTGTTAGACCTAGACAGGAGAAGAAGAGAGGGGTTGTTCTCAAAAACAGCTTTCACAATTACAATGAAGTTTCCAATATTTCGGAACGCAAAATCAACATGATGAAAGAGACCTTAATTGTGAAATCAGCTGGGCGACGCCTACATGAACACTCGTGTGGTGCTAGCAACTCGTCTATTTTCAACAAAGAAAACTAAGCAGAGAACTTGAATAAACTCGATCAATTCAAGCCAACCATTGAAATTTCAAATTTAGCAACAATTCGTCTAACGGGATGAAATTGGCAATAGAAACTCCGTGCCCAGCCTGCGAGCCCAAACAAAGGTGACCTTGCTCACCAGCCCCACAGAACGAGATCAAGTTTGACGCTAAAACTCCCTTCTCTGCTAATAGAAAATCATTCTCTACATCAGAAAGTATAATAAGTACCTATCATCTGTCATGAAAATACTAAATTCTTAAGTTAAGATTACTAAAACGTACCAAATAATCGACAGAAGCAGGACAATCGAACTCACCTGATCGATTTCACATCCAGCTGTTACAAACTGACGCATTCTCCACAATGCATTGCGACGCCTTCACCAAAGTGAGGCACGTCTCTAGGGAGGGGTAAGTTCATCAAATTTTTCTAACAGGTAGAGTTCAGCATTTATTTTCAAAGCAAAATTTATAGAACAAAGATAATTCTTTACGATTAACATTCGGATTCTAAGCTGTGTGCCTCATTGACTTAAATTAAAACAGAAATACGCATCATTTGACAATTTTACTCTGCCCTACCCTACCCAGTCTGTTATTTTGTCCTCTTTTGTCCAGTGTTTTTCCCGCGCAAGTTTGAAGATGGCTTTGAGGGATAATGGCGGTCAGACGACAAAAAGAGCCACAAAAGTCCCCAGAACGGTCGTTATAATACACTCAGACGAGCTTGTAAGATTGTGCGATAATCTGCCCAAAGTTCCTAAACGGGTAAGCGGACTTTTTTCCATTTCGCTAGCGTTGTTTGTTTATTTTGCGCCGAGATCCGTTTCCGTTAACACTCTGCTACATTGATTCACCGGCCTGTCTGATTCCCTATAACCATGGATGTCTTTTTTTGTAGGCATCGCTGACTCATACATTGATTAAAGCCTATGGACTTATGGAAAATGCCAGGTAATTACGTAGCGTTTCTTCATTGTCTTCATTGTAGTATCAGTCTTTGAAACACCGTTCTTTTTCTTGACAAATGTGTCATACTTCATCTGTATCAAGAAAGTGGAAAACCGTCTGACTTAATTGCTGCAATTTGCCCGTGTGCTTACATGAAGCTCTCGCAGATACATTAAATTTCAGTCATTTTCCGTAAAAAGGCTATCTTAATTAAAGGAAATTTCAACTTTTTGATCACAAAAATTGCTTTAATTAATCCAAGAAGTCAGTTGAACAAATTATTAATATTGATACCTGCTGAAAAGCAGGTTTTTGTGTAATATTGACATGGTTCAATTATTTTATACAGCTTAATCTTAAAGGGAAAATATCAGGGATGCTTGTTTGAAAATTTTCTAATTAGACCACTAAAGGAGACCAAACTGGGTGTGGTTCAAGCTTTATTTGACCCCTAAAAGATACCACTTAAAACGGCTCTATTACCAGCCACTCTTCAGTGGGGAGTCCACGTTAGTAGACCGGACTCGTGAGACCGGTAGAAATCGAGCCTAAAAACGGAATTAAGAGCATTTTTTCTATCTTTATTCTTTGAGTACCTTAAAAGATACTTTGACAGCCAAAAATAGTGGTGTTTTGTCATGAACACACAAAGTGAGACTAGAATCCTTGATTTATACCCCTAAGTGAGACAACGAGCATCCCCAACCTTTTCATATGAGTCCGTCCCTCTGAGGATCTTGTTACACTTATGCTACACAGTGCCAAATATTATAATCATCTCAACTTGAGGTTGATAATTAGCTAAGTGTACAACACATACACAAACACATAAATGATAGCACCATTCATGCAGCTTCAGGGAACTGGTTTCATAACGATACATGTATCTCTAAACAGAGTCGTTCAACCAAGACGAGCCTCAGTCAGAGAGCTTTCTGCTTTCCATTCTTTGGACTACATTGAGTGCTTAGAACAAGTAACAAATGGTGACGAGTGCGAGGAAGGGGAGCATGTGGCTTCTGAGTATGGTTTAGGTATGATAGCACTAAACCTAACCAAGTTAACTTATGATAATGCTATACACCTGACCAGTTAAATGACTGCACATAGAAAGCGTACACATATTGACTGAACCAGAAGCATATCACCTAGGTGATATGAACTCAATAGTGATTTGACTGGTGAGCAGAAATACTCACCCTTCGAACATCCAAGGCTTAGCGCACAGATGGTTGGCAGATGTCATCACATTTTTAGCCAACACATACACTGTAGTCCTTACTTGCTCACTAACTTACACGTACTTCCTTTTACCATATGGCAAACTAGTCTAGCAATTCTGATAAGTTCCCTAAGCAGTCTAAATTTACAATTCAGCAAACAATTCTTTTCCGCAGGCTTTGATTGCCCTGTGTTTGATGACTTGTTTAGCTGCATGTCTGCTGTGGCTGGAGGAACGCTTACTGCTGCCGAGATGTTGAACAAAAGGGAATGCTCTATAGCAATCAACTGGCAGGGAGGCTGGCACCATGCCCAGAGGTATGTAGCTCATGATTTTTATTCCTCAAACCATTCCTTTCCATATCAAGATTCTCCTTAAACCATAGAACAGAATGATATATAAGCTATTTTGCTCCTTCCACAAGCAACTACTATAACAACTACTGTTGCAAGGGCAGCACAGTGGATATCATGTATGGGTGACATTGCACTGGCATATGATCAGCAAATTACTATTAAAATTCTGCATCCAGCTAGAACAAGAGTTGACAAGGGATCAAACTCTGGCTCTTATTTTGCACTCTTGACAACCCTGTTAAAAGTAGACAGCTGCTCTTGAAAATCACAATCCACATGTATTGCACATCATGCAAATGATCCTGCACATCATGCATTACTCATATCACACCATATACATGTACTGCAAGTACTGCAACAAAGGGCTATGTGGCTATTAATTCCTCCGGTATGCATCACACGCCTACATTTTTTAAACTTTTCCAATCTAGTACATGCTCGTGGAAATATTACAACTGGTTTAAATTTTTTGTTCTTGGCATCATTAGGGATGAAGCATCTGGATTCTGCTATGTTAACGATGTTGTCTTAGGGATTTTGAAGTTGCGGGAGAAGTTTGATAAGGTTCTCTATGTGGACATTGATCTTCACCATGGCAATGGTATGTGAAATCTGTTTTTAGCTCTCATATGAATTTGTTTGTTTTTTGTGGTTGTTGTTGTTGTTGTTTTGTTTTTCTTTTCGTTTTTGTTTGCTTGTTTTTTTTTTTAAGGCTAGTAATAGAGGATCATCTTCTAATCACTCTATTTTGCCTACTACTGGGCAAACAGATGCATTTTGTTTGAATTTCAGAGAGCTGAGTTGGGTAAGAGAATGTTTGTGAATGGGCCATATATTTGTGTTCTCGGTTTTGGACTGGAATTAGCTTGCAATAGAGGCTCATCCGTCCACCGACAGGCTATAAAAAGTTGGCTGTATTAATGGAGTAAAATGACTGACTGAGCTTTTGTTCAGACCAAAGTGGACGTAATAACGAGGTGGCCATATTAACGGGGTGACAGTAAGGCGGGGTTCCACTGACTGTAATTTACATTAGGAGAGATTCCCCACATTAGCCTCAGTTGCAAGCCAGTTCCAGTCCTATACCGAGAATTAATATGAATATGGTCTATTTGAACTCCCTATTACCAGTATTATGAAATCCAGTATTGGTAATACGCTAAAGATGTACAGTATAGCAGTTAGCTTCACTTAAGATTATTGGTAATACATTCCAGGCTAAGCAAGAGAGTTTCCAGAGACCTGAAAACAAGTAACTTCTACTTTGCAGTGAGAGGTTTAAGTACAGTAGATGTGTGTATGACTAATTCATCTTTTGCCTGAAAATTATTTGCAGGGGTTGAAGATGCCTTTTCTTTTACTTCAAAAGTAATGTCGCTATCATTTCATAAATTTTCCCCTGGATTTTTCCCAGGTATTACGACACTAAGTTTTGTTTGTTTCTTTGTCTAGTTATTCTTTTTGGTACAAACAATAACCCTAATAATAATCACATTGTGATGTGAAATTTTCGCATACAATGCATGGATATACAACAGTGATGTACAATTCTTGTTATATAGTCAAAAAAAAGACGAGCACTTTTTGAAACAAACAAGATAAATTATCCCCAGTGAATGTTTATGGTGAAACTCCAGAAACTAAGAAACCACTTGTGTCAAATGGAGTGGAAGCCATTGATCAAGTGTCATATCTATAGGCGACAACAGGAGACAGTGTTTTGTCTAATCCACTAGTTGCTCAATCAGACCTTGTACCTCAGTCAGTTAGTAGAGCTCAGCTATGAGGCTTGATAGCCAGTCTAGTAAGTAAAAACAATGCTTTTGCTGGACTGCAAGTGAAAGACGTTTTGTCTTGTTCATTTACAGGTACAGGATCACACTATGATGTGGGTTTTGGCAAAGGAAAATATTATTCCGTCAATGTGCCTCTGAAGGATGGAATCACTGACAAGCCTTTCATTGAAATATTTTCAAGGTTAGCACAATACAACCAGACCATGTTTCTCTCTCTTCCTAGGAGGTCTAAATTTTAAGTCAGAGTCTGTACAATCATGTGAAGAGCTTTCAGAGCTTTTTGAGGATCAACTGAATATGCAACACTCTATAATAGTTTTCCAAAGGTCACTATCAATAAATTAAGAGGTTTAAAAATCTTCTTTCAATAATTGTGTTACAGAGTGATGTCAGAGGTCAAGATGAGATTTAAGCCAAATGCAGTTGTTTGTCAGTGTGGTGTTGATACACTGGCTGGTGATCCTATGGCATCTTTTAACCTCACCCAGCACAGTATCGGAGAGTGTGTCAAATACCTAATGCAATGGAACCTGCCATTGTTATTGCTCGGAGGAGGTCTGTGAAATGTCATTTTACATGTAGTAGCTACAGTAATTCCATTTCTTGACCATCCCACTTTGTTCATTCCGGAAGTTTTGTTAAGAATAAGTCTACTGTCCATAGACATGTCCGTATTGACTTATCAGACTATGAGCCCTAGTTTTCATGTTGTTTTCACAAGAGTATTCTTTTCATCTTTGCTGGTTTTGGCATTTGTCCTCAATAAAATTTTCAATTTCCATTTTAAAGAGAGGCTTGTTGGTGACATTTGCTTGTCTGATGTTATCATACATAACAGCCATTCACACTCCTTGTCAGAACAAGAGATAAAAACTGTTATGTCAGCTAATTGATGATTAATTGTATTTTATTCTAGGCGGATATAATGTAAAGAATGCTGCAAAGTGCTGGACATACTTGACTGGTGTGGCTCTGAATCAATCATTATCACTTGACATCCCAGAGCATGAGGTAATAACTTTAAGTGTTGTGAATTAGATTGAAAAAAATAATAATTATAATCCTTTAATGACAGGTGTGGCCTGTTTGAACTTGATGACACAAAAAGCCAAAGCACAGAACTGCGTTTTAAACTTAAGGGAAGATTTGATTTATTTAAAAGAAAAATAAAGCACACTCCCAACTACAATAACAAAATATTTATCTTTTCTTAAGTATTTCCTGACCTATGGACCAGACTACCAGCTTAATATTCCACCTGGAAGACGGCATGACATGAACACCACAGAAGATCTCAAAAATCTCCTCAACACTGTATCAGGTAATTCATTGGGAAATCCTATCTTATTAATAAGAACCACCCAGTAGTTCCTGGTTGGTGGTTTTATGGACAGGGTACCAAGTGATATACACAGTGCATTTCCTACCTACCTTATGCTAGTGAGTTCAACAGGGCCTTCCTCCTATTCTAGGCACCATGCTGTGTTATCTGTGGAGAACGTCAATAGACAACAAGCCCCAAATCACACATTGTATAACCAGTTTCTTTTGTTGTTTCTCAAGTGCATCAAATTCTTTCACAGTCTGTATGCTATTGAATGGCGTTGTCACTTATATCAGCCCCAGACCTCTCTGCACGTGCATCCTTTAAAATTTTTGAGGTCAAATTTCTTATTTTTTTTT